TGCGAGAAGACCATGTTGCGAGACATTAATGGTCCATTACCCTGTGAACTTGAACTATTCAATGGAAGAAACGCCCCTGCATGTGCCCGAACTCCACTGATAATCAATCAGCCAAGTATTGAACGAATCCAACGGACTAATCAATGGGTATTGATCCTGCCACTACCAGAAGTTATCAAAATGGAATGCCACGAAGAAATGCAAATGAAAAGATTGACGGGAACTTACCTACTTTATATTCCTGTCAACTGTCAAGCCGAAATTAATCACCAAATCATCAAAAATGAACCCGAAACGATTGTCGCGGGCCAACCTATAATATTCCCGGACTTAAACCTGGACACTAAAGGCGACATCACAGAAACAAATTTCAGTCTGCATCTAGAAAAAATTAAGCTGGACGAGTTAAGTAAAATCAAGTCAAGCATTATCAGCAACAAACTCAACTTCAAAAAACCTACAGAATTTTTTATACCCAGTGCCTGGACACTGATAATATATGGATGTATATTACTCTTGGGTGCCTACGCATTCTGGAAAACCATTTTGAAGAGGAGGAAGCTCAGAAATAGAAGTATTCAACAACCAGAAGTCGAACTTCATCCTATTCAACTTCCTTGAAGAATTCTTCCCCGAAGTTGAATCTCAGGGGGGAGGAGTTATATCAGCCGTTCCTGCTGATATGATAGGAATACTGCCGACGATGCTACTAATTTCCTAGAAGACCTAGAGTTTACTTTATTGTTCTCAACACATTTTACAGTCAGTCAGATTTAAGCCTTTGTACTGTTAACATCATAATAACATTGTAATAATTTTGTAAAAGTACAGTTTTGAGTTTTGTATTTTCGAAAAATAAACTTTTTAAAAAGCGATCTCGAAGCATCGATCTTATAACTCATGCATCTGTAGTAGTCGGAGTTTCGCTATCATGGTGTTCTGTAGCAGTCCATCTCTTTGAGTTATTGCACGATTTTCCGCGGCATACTTTGCAAGCAGGGTTGCACTTTAGACCGGCTTTTCGGCAGTTACATCGCTTCGATTTGCAGGGCCCTTGGCATCCACAGGAAACCTGAAAAAAGGTTATCATAAGAATTATTATAATCTAAATATCAGTTGTCTTGTAAGGGAAATCAATGACAGGCCTTTTATAGTGTTCCATAGATCAGTCTAAAAATTTGTTATTTTGACTTGAAACTGGATCTCACATTGTTCAAAAATTATTTTAATTCCGGTCAGACAGTACATGAGATCAAAAGTGTAGTAAAAATTAGTTGCAGCAAGTTGTATTTATTGCTTCAAATTGAATACATTTCACACATACCTCTTGTAACAGTTCTTTTGGTGCGGGATCTGCTTCAGACATGATCGGAATGAGAATATTACTCTGTCCATCCCCACAAGCAGGGATCTAATCTACACCTGGATTTGATAGTACAGTCGTTTACAGTGCTGAAGCAAGGCAAGAGATGTTGGTGAGAGACATTCTAGGGGCGTTTCCTTTTTTGCCTTTGCTAAGTTTGTAGAAAACAAATTGTATCTGAAAGTCCCGAGAGAAGAAGACTGTTCTTTGTCTTTGTATAGTGCGAGAGTAATCGTCTCTGAACATTGCAGCAATTCGTCTTCCAAGTAGTCCGGCTCGTAAAACTTCAGCGCCAGCGCTCTAATGCTGTCGTTCTGCAGCAGCAACTTCACCAGCTTCATCTTCCCTTTCCCAAAAAGCAGCTAGTAGTGTCGCAGCCCGCAAAGGCATGAGCAAAAAGTAGAAATGGTTGCAAATGTTTGTGATCCCGAGTAGCGTACAATTGGTTCGCCTTGCCCCCCTGGCCCATCTTGTAATAGTACATGCTCTCTGAGGTTGGAGTGAGTCCAGTAAGTAATATTAAGAGATCAACATCCGAGCCGACGACTATAACTCGTGATTTCCCGTGACGAAACAATTCGTTATGAGTCTTCAGAGCTGTTCTCACAATCTCAACATCCGCATCCTCTTTCGCATGGATCACGGTAAAACTGAATCCCTCATATGTTACAAGAGTTTGACCAAGGTGATAAACAAATTGAGCCTTGTTTTTCACGTTGGACAAAAATGTCCTTTGGTTCAATGGGACGAGATTGTCTGGTTCAATTTCAACGTCCACGCCACAATTTCTTTCTTGTCTACGGTCTCGCTCGTATGATTTGACACCTATATGTTCATCTTCATATCCGTCGAAAACAATAATGACGCTCCGACCAAACCGCTGAACAAGAAAGTTCTTGTACATATCAAAGATTGCACGGTATGTCTTACTATGAGGCCAGACGAGGCTGTGAAGCAACCATCCTCCGTCTACAACAAACTGAGAATCTTCAAAAAATGCTCGTGAGGATAGGGTAGTAGTGAACATTTTATATAACTGTGAATTGTCGGTCTTTCGCATTGATCCTTTCTCGTCGAACAAACTAAGTGGAAGCAAGATTTACTCAACTATTTCCTTCCACGCATAGCCACAGAGAGACGTTGAAATAATAGAGATGTATCAACAGTGACAGTGGAAGACAGCTTTTTGAGATTGTGTCCGTGCAGAGTCCAAATTCTTGATCTTGTACAATTTTGACAGCGACACCTTTTCATAAGTGCGTGCAACTATATGACCCATTGCTTGTGTGCCACGCTCGAAAGCCATATGACAATTTATTTCCACACCACCAACAACTCCAGTTGACATCGAAATTAATTCCTCGCGGACTTTGAATGGTTCATGCCCCTTCAACCAAGTAACGAATGAGGCAATGTCCTTTGCGTCCCATGCTTTTCGTCCTTTGCCCAAATCAACATGCTGCTCACTGTTTCTCGTCTTCAGGTTACAATACTCCTCCAATACTTGCAGCACATGCACGGCACAAGGCATCCCCAGCAAATATCGAGACACGACACTCCGCGTAACACCTCTTCCGTGTTTCAAGTCAGTCCCAAAAAACCTATTCAATGTCTGCTCGATTGTCATGTCACTCCAGATTCCGGACCAAGCCTTATCCGACCTGTGGCAAACTGGTGAAACTCTTGAGAATCCATGATGTCCTGTAGAAGTACCATATCCTGCAAATAAATCTGAGCTGCTTTTGCATATTGAAAATGTCCCGCGGTATGAAACAATGGCAACATTCTTCGAACGCAATCAAGATGAAGGTCCCAGTTTCCAAGACGTTCTGCTTCAATAAAACGCAAGACAATAAGCACGGCTTCAATGTACTGCACCCACAACTTGGCTGTTGGGCCGTTATTTTTCAATTGCTTCAACTTTGTATAAAACAAATCAGACATTTTCTTCAGGCCCTTATCAGAGTCACTGTCCTCTAGCTTGAAAGGATTTTTCTGCCAGACACGCATCAATGATGCGATAACCCCTTTGATCTCGCCTTTTTCTTCGATTGAATCACAAATTACGATGCCTAAAGCTATAAACGTCAAAATGTGTGCTCGGACTGCTCTTGAATAATTGTGCCCGTCCATCATTTTCTTTATGGATTCACTAGCATAAGCAAGCTCCCACATAGATTCAAGTCCGCTTCCTCCGATGATAATACCTATTGCTCCCAAAAAAGACATTAACATGTGGAATCCGCCTAAGCGAACAAAAACGTCGGGCAACATTAACTTCGCTATAATATCGCGACATTTCATGTACAACGGCAAGTCGCAAGTTAAGATAGTGGTTTTTTGAACACATTTACGGGTTTCGCTCTTTGCATGCATAATTGATGTATAAATGGTTGTTAGACTAGATGGAAGTTCGTTAATGAATTGTTGGCATTGCACCCCCGATCTTTGGAAACTTTCATTTTCCGAACATATCTCCATGAAACCTCGCCATGCTGGTACATTCTCAGGATCAACGTATTTAGCCCACAAATAAGTTGAGTAAGTAGGGGGAATAGAGGCTTGTCGACCATGGTCAGTAAATTTGTATCGATGAATTCTATAAGTTTCAAGCCCTCTTTTGGCGGCTCGACGTAAGGGAAGATTGGAATTTGTTCTTGCTTTGCAAGGATATTTGCGGAAGGCATCTCAGTAAGTTTTTCGACACTTCCACATTGTTTGATTTCGTGCTCCGGAGTGTAAACATGTATTCCGCCTAAACAATGGAAAGTCTCCCGTCCTTCCAGGGTCCTGACGTTGTGGTCAGTATTATCAAATACAAATTGTACGAAAGGTTTTTCGATGATCAATCTGGGTGGATTCACTATTGTTGAAGCCTCATACAATTCAATATTGTAGTAAGAAGTGCAAACGCCTAATGCATGCAGAAGATTTATGATGTACTTGGAACCTGTTTTTCTCAGAATCAATGTCCCAATCGACAAGTGGAGGGTGGACAAAAACGTACGTGGCTGAATGAATGAAAGTATGCATTGAGATATCATGTCTCGCTTCACAGACTTTGCTTTTTTATCTTCCTCTTCGTCAGCGATAAGGAGAAAGTGCTCAATAAAGAACGAAAAGTGGGGTGGATAATCGGAGGAAAGATCGCTTACAAATTGATTGGAGGGTGGGTACTTATCGCTTACAAATTGCTTGCTACGAATCTCTCTGTGCATTATATTTGGGGCCTGAAGCAAAATAACTTGTATCTGCCCTTCTGTGAAAGTTGATGGGTCTGCTGACACATTAAAAACATGATGACTTTTGAAGCATACACGTATATCTTTTCCCCCCATTATACTGCACTCAACTTCCTCACCGTAACGTTTTTTAATGTGGTCTGCTACAGTCCTTCTATCTATAGAGTCATCATCCACAAGTTCTACTAACTTCGACAAATAATGAATAACATTTTTGTCTTCTTCAAGAACTTGCCACACAGGTTCTAACAATGAATCGATTGTAGACCAGTTTAGATCATCGATATTTTTTTTAAACCATACGCATTGAAATGAGACATGCATGTCCGGTGGTATCTGCCTTGTACGCGAATTAAGCAAGAAATGTTCTCTAATCTTTCAACAACGCTAATTCCCAAAGAGTCATTTCTTTACTTTCCCATTGCAATCAAGTTATCACGCGTCTCTTTTTGTGTGACTGGACAGATTTTTGTTTTCGGATCTTTTATTATACTCAAACCACAAATGAAGCAATTATCCGCGTAATGGAAATCAGGAACCTCATCCCTTGCAGCTACGACATTGTTATTTGGTGCATTCAACGCAAAATGCTGAGTATACGTTCCACTGACCGAGTATGAAAGTCTACACTTCTCATGGCAGTCCAGTTTTTCCTTTTTTTCCCAATCCAACCATTTTTTGTCTTCCACGCGTTTGCTCTGTGTGATCAGTGTACTAATTCCCTTCTTCCCCACGATCCTGCAATTGCCGCGCGTCAACGGATAACTGCAAATGGCGCAGTTACTATTTTGCTGCATTTTATTCCTATTGAATAACAGAAACAATTTCAGTGAGAATCGGTATCCAGTAAGTGTAATGCAATTTTCGATCCAGTCAGTGTAATTTGTCTGATTTTTGTTATTAATATCAGAACATAGTGCTAATGGAATTCCAAGACATGCTGAATTTTGGATATATACTGAATTTGGACCGCACTACTTATTATTAAAAAATACTATACTAACATTGGAAAATGAAAACAAATTTCGTTAAAAAATAGGTTGGCTTTGTCCTTAATTCCTTGTCTCCAATGAAATTACGGAAAAAAATATTTAATTTCAATTCTAAAATGTACACATACTTACCTCACTTATCCAGTCAATCGACAAGCAATTGAAGAGAAATTACTCCACATACTTAAACGCATAAACTTCGAAAATTACTTCTTTCGTAAAAGTCGGTGAACGCCAAACTGACAAGCGAGCTCAGGGTTCGAAATTCAACTCTACTATTACTGAATAACCCCTATCATATAGTAGTGTGGCGGCAGCTTGGTGGTATGCAGGTACGCCGCCTCTGTCCCCGCAAACCCCCTCGCCCACAAGCCATCAGCAAGCTGTAGCGCGAAAACTAAGCAATTTAGCGAAAAATTTGTAGAGACCTTTATTGATGGCCCAAAACAGAGGCGTGGGGCCTAGCTCAAAGAGTTCCCCGCTTCTTTCTAATATCATTGGGATTACACCCAGCCAGCGGCGGCGACGAAGTAAATATGAATTGAATAATTCCTTCTTGATTCAATTTACAAATTAATGCATTAATCAAAGAAACTATCATGTTTTTAGTCATAAAATATTACCAGACATTTGAGAAACAAAATAGTATTTTAAATTTCAATAGGTATTAAGAGTAATCCATGTAATTTTTTCTTATGAATGTGGAAGTGGAACAACCAGCGGGTAGGCTTATGCAGACGGCGGCGCGGCACCTCAAAGACAAAAGCTGTATTTTGTGTTTTTGGCTCACAAAGAGATTGACAGTAGCTTGAAAAAAGTCGTATTTTTCTATATGACTCTTAGGTTTTGTGGATTTAGCATTTAGAAGGCTGGCTATTATTACCTCCAATCGCATCCTAAGAAAAAAATTCGGCCTGATTTTTTGTTCATTTTCCTGTTGTGCTTTTTGTCACTGCAAGCAAACTGTAGCTAAACTGTTTTCACAAAGCTTTTTGGAAAACTTAGTCAGACTTCGCTTTGAAATGATATTCCCAACTTGGGGGAATAGGACGGAGGTTTTTTTTCAGTGTACTCGTATAGTACAGAAACATTTTCACTGTATACAGGAAATCTATTTTGAATAACAATATGTCATTTTTTCAGACTGCTACGTGGACCGTATTAGATTTTTATAAGAATGTGTTTGTTTATTTGTTACTTTTGTTTATGGATTTATACAGAAACTGTTTTTTTTTGAGAATTCTTAATTGATTTATTACTTGTTTGTATTTTAAAGGATATTATTTTTGTTTTAATTGCATGGAATTGACTGTTTGTTTTTATTATTTTATACTATACACTATGCACCGGCGGGCCTTCGGCGATCTAGTTCTTTTCTGCCGCTACACCAACGGGCTTTGCTCCTCGGAGCTCTCTTCCATGATGCCGCCGCGCGATGTGCCTGCCAGATAGACCCGCCCAACTTTGACGTCCCATCCTAACCGTGTCGAGCTTCTTTCATCCAGAACTGGGCGATACGACCGCCCCTTTGTCTCGAGAGTTTTGAGACTGTGGAACAATCTACAAGAGGAAGCTTTTCCCAGTTCTACTAACCTTAGTCAGTTCAAAAATTGTATTAACAAAATTTCTTTGGGATCATCATAGCAGCCGCGGTGTTTCGGCATTTAGGCTTCTGTCTGCGTGACTGCTTCGATATATAATATAGGAATATATACAGGGTGTTCCATAATTATTGCGACAAAATAATAGGGGTTGCAGAGGGCATCAAAATGAACAATTTTGCCTTATAAACTCCTGTTCGGAAATATGCCGTTTGGGCTGCAGCAAAAAAAAAGATCAGTTTCTTGAAACAGCTTACCTACAGTAATTGCTCAAAGTGTCTTCCACCTTGCTCAATACACAGCTGTGCACGATTGTTCAATGATCGGCGAACTCTGTGGCATACCCCCGGTATGTCCTGAACATGTGCGGACGCGGCCATCACTCTTCCCAGTAGCTCTTGTTGGTTGGGAACAGGAGTTTCGTACACTAAAGCTTTCAGATGGCCCCAGAGAAAATAATCCAGTGGGGTCAGGTCGGGTGACCGCACAGGGCCACCTCGGCCTATCCACCTATTTGGAAATTTGTCGTCCAAATACTGCCGCACTTGTAAAGAAAAGTGGGCTGGAGCGCCATCGTGTTGACACCACATGTTGGCTCTTATGTTCAGTGGCACATTTTCTAATAGTTCCGGTAGCACATGCTGTAAGAATCGATTATAAGCATGCCCATCCAAACGTGGTGGATGCAAATATGGCCCGATGATATGCTCGTCCACAATGTCGCACCAGATGTTAATTGAAAACTGATGTTGGTCTCTATGGATGGCTATGGCATGAGGGTTTTCTTCATCTCAAATGTGACTTAAAATAACCGTCCTTTGTAAAACAGGACTCGTCAGAGAACAAAACGTAGCGACCAAAGTTTGGTTGCCTCAACTCCTGCTGCAGCCACCAACGACAAAAACGTCGACGCGGCTGATAGTCTTCTGGACCCATGGCTGGACTTTTAAAAGGTGGTATGGGTGTAGCTGCTGGTCATGGAGAACCCGCCAAACAGTAGTTTGAGACGCTCCCATATCATGTGCAATAGTACGCACGCTTGTACGCGGATTGGCCTATACATGATGCAGAATCGTTTCCTCAAATTCTACTGTGCGCCTCGTGAAGGGCCGCCCTGCTCCCGCGAGGTGTCTGATGCTGCCACTGACACGAAGACGTCCATGAATCCTTGCAAAAATGGCTGGATGCGGATGAGGACGTTCTGGAAATTAAATGCATATCCGCAAGTTCGGCATACGAATAACGCTGCATTTTAACACTAAGGTACTGTTATTTACTATCTAGTTTGACGCACCACTCAGATAAATTAAATGAATCGGTGTGGAGAATTTACGATAACAAAAATGTAAACACAGCAGGCTTTTTTTACAAACCAGCGAGACCATGAAATGTGCTAGACGAACATTTTGCAGCTGGTGAATTTTTTGTTTCTCTTATGAGCTCTTAAGGTAAAATTAGCGGTAGTGCTCAAACGGCATATTTACGAACAGGGGTTTATAAGGCAAAATTGCATATTTTTATGCCCTCTACAACCCCTATCATTTTGTCGCAATAATTATGGAACACCCTGTATATACCTCTATATATGTATATATACAGGGTGACTTCGAAGTTGAGTCATTTATTTTAACAGTGAGTAGATCTGATCAAAAGAAATGTTTTTTCCTTTACCATTTTTCTGGTAAAATTAAAGTAACAAAGTTATAGCCCTTTGGAAGTTTGAGTACCGTCCTGTCTCAATAATAATATCATGTGCTGGCAACAACGGATATAATCCACCTTATCGGTTCATCGCATCGGAAACAAAAAAGCGAAAGAATTTGGAACGATGTTCTTGCAATTTTTTATTCAGTTCAGTTATAGGAGTACATACAGTCAGTGTCAGTTGCGTGTGAATAGTGTCTGTTGCGTGGCTCAAACGAAATAAAAAATGGCACATGTTTATGCGGATCGGTTTCCCAATCGAGTGCAACCAACCCCTCGTGCCTTTGTTAATGTAGTACAACGGGCTCGTGAATCAGGTGACTTAAGACCTCACAGGGGACCTCACGATCAAATACAGGTCCGCACTGAAATACTTGTCGGGAGGATACTTTATAAAACAAGGTAAATTTTTTTTTTATTTTTTTTTATTTTTACACACATATTTTGGTTTATCTTCCTTCTACAATCATTATCTGAAAATTAATGACTCAACTTCAAAGTCACCATGTATATACTCCATAATCATTTCAATTTTTGGCTTGTCTATTGAATAGCAAATATATTTGACCTACCATAGAAAAATTCATCTCTCAATCTCTGTTTGGGAATCTGACTGACCAATTATTAAACCGACCGTCGGCAATGAGTAATCAGGGGAGCAGAAACACGTCGTCCTGCGACCTGTCTTTAGGTAGTGCGTCCCTCTTTTATCGAGTATAATTTATTGCCGGTTTATTTCTTTGATGTCCTTTACCGCCGTCTGATGGATCACTCTAAGCAAAAGCTAAACATACTGTTGGACCAGCGAAAGATTGCAAGCCGAAAGAATGCGGACAAAAAATTGCGAAGTTGTCAGATGTTCTACATAAAATGCGGTCCATACATATTAACATATTTAAGATATAGAATTGTTCCGCTGAATTTGGCAATGTAGCTGGAAAACCCAGGCCGCAGGTAAACATCCGGTCGCTGATTGGTCCAAAACTCTTATCTTATCTGAAACTAGAATAACGTGCCGATGGCACGGTCATTTATAAACCTACTCCCATAGGCGTAGGCAGTTGGCAAATACTTTGAAAATATAATTTACTGTTTAGTGGTGATAATGGAATTCAAGCATGGGAAAGTTATTCACAGCCAGGCAAGGGAAATAATAGCAAACGTGATACGTGCTTGCGATGCAGAAGCGGCTAACAATACTTTCGTTTATCCACTGGTAGCTAGAAATGCAAGGGCGGCATATTATACGGGTGTTAGTGAACGAACTATAAGTAAAATTAGAAAAGAAGATAAAGACAGGCAAAATGCAACCTCCACACAGCCTTTAGCTTCTCCCGGAAAAAAGAGATCACGCCCTTCTGTGATCCAAAAAATTGATGGAGTCGATTTTTCCATTATTCGGAGAATGATAGAAAAATTTTACTGTGATTTTAAAGTGGTACCTACTTGTAGTAAACTTCTAATCAAACTGAAGGAAGAAATGGAATTTCCATTTGGTAAAGAATCGTTGAGGCTGCTTTTAAAAGCAAAAGGATTTTACTGGCGTAAATGCCACAACAAAAGGAAATTACTAATGGAAAGACCCAGTATTTTACATTGGCGATACAAGTATCTTAGGTCTATTAAAAAGTTCCGGGAAGAAGGAAGGCATATTATTTATTTGGACGAAACTTGGGTTGATAATGACCTCACTTTCAAGAAATGCTGGCAAAGCGAAGAAATTATGGGTGTCCTGAGCAATATAAGTTCTACAGGTAATAAAGTTTCTTTCACCTCGATTTTGCTTATTATACATTTTTCTCAATTTTGGAATATTCTTAATAAGTGCTCATTTAATTTGTCTAATTGAATACATAATCCCTTGCAAGTATTTTTTTCTCAAAAATATGTTTTTTATACATAGTGATTC